GGAGGAAGACATTACCAATTAATACAACATACTGGTCTCTTAATAAACTTTAAAATGGGCTACAACTTCTCCCTAGAGTTTTACTTTCTCTGAAACATTGCATTTGCAACTTTAATTAAATTTATATAGGAGGATGACTATAACAGGAATTTCTATCAGCATCAAAGTTTCAGACCAGCAAAAATACAACATACTTCCCCTTCTAAAACCCCAGAACATTCAGGTATGCCAGAGTAACACAGTCAAGAGGGTATCTAGAATCCAAACCAAAAAAGCCCGCTAAAACCCAAACTCTTATTTATGACATAGGCAGGATCATTATCGAGTCAGTTTGATATGTGTTTTAGGCTTATTATAGCACTGACTAAGCTGAAACTATTATAGACATTTCTCAGTTTAGAAACACACTCCAATTACCTTGAAGTTTGCATCTTCAAAGATAGTTTCTGCATAAAACATAACTGCGTTAATGCCTGTTACTTGCTGGAAGAACATTAGAGTCACAGCAATAAGAAGTGGCCTGTAGATTGAGGGGTTCTTAAATTCATAGAGATTCAGTCCCTGTTAAAAAGATTAAGTAATGATTTGGTGAAGTTCATCTTTTAAATCAAAAAACAAAACCAGCAGCAGCAAAGTACCTACTCAGAACATTTCAATCTCTTCAAACTCCCTAACTTTTCCACCCCCACCTTTAGGAAAACTAAGTGCCTTAGCAGTAAAAAAACCTGAAGTATCTCAGAACTCCAGAAGAGCATTTTTCCCCTTTTCTCAGATTCTAGAGACAGAAATTTACAGTATTTTGTAGAGAAAGTTAACATGAATGAATCCACGGTTTGCACAAACAGAACCTCAATTCAAACTTCAACCAAACCTGCCTATTTAAGCACACAAGAGGCTAAACGATGCTTTTAGACACACAAGAGAAAATGCATTCATACAACACAAACAATAGGAAATTAGTGTTAGAGGTGTTGAACAATCTACAAAATTGCTAAATAAAGCAAAAAAAACTAGGTAGCTGTCATATAATGAACAAGATCACAAGCTCAACTGCTACTTCTGTATATTGATGGCAGCCAACGGTGCTAGCAGCTGCAGCTGAAAGGCAGGGGAAGATTCAAAGAATCTCATTTGCTTCTTGAGTGTCATTTGTATGAGGGAACAGGCTTGGACCACTGTTTACAGAAAAGGCTATTAACTAAGCTTCAGTAAAACCCTTTTAATTACACTATATGCTTTCAGATGTTATCTCCATACAAAAAGATTTTTTAAGTGCAAATCAGATTCTCATCACCTCCTCCTGAACGCTAGCTTCAATCTGCCTACATTCCCATTCATGGTCCGCATGTGGTCCCCGCAGAAAGCGCAAAGAAGCTATGGCTTCTGAACGTTTGTTCTGATTCAGCAGAAATCTTGGTGTTTCAGGCATGAAGGACATGAACAATAGCATTGCGCAGCATGGAATAGAACACAACACTGCCAGCCAGCGCCATTTTAGTATTATTCCTGGGTAACAAAAAGGAAAGAAAGAAGACTATGAACATCAATTAGTTGTACAAATTAATTAACATTTACTTTCAATTCTTCACTGTAGTTCTTTCATTACATATACTAATTGTTTTTTGTAGCATACAGCCCTAACCCAATACCTGCAATATAGGCTCCCAATATGCCAGTCACCACCATCAACTGAACACAAGAGCCAAGCATACCACGGACTTTAGGATGAGATACTTCGGATATATAGACCTAAAACATAGGGACAAAACATCTAATAATTACTTCTATCCAATTTTGGATCCAAGACTTGATAAGTAATTAATTGCTGAAAAAAACCAGATGTATTTCCTAGCAACTCCCCTCCTTAAAAAAAAAAAACCTCAATAAAATGGAGTCAGTAGAAAAGTACCATCTCAGAAATACATTGTATATTGGCATTATGAAAAACCCTGGAAAAAAGGGAAGACCTAAGCCAGAAGAATGCTGATGCGGTATCGGTATCCCAAAGATGAATAAACTTGCATTAGTAAGAGCTTCTTTTGTTAGCCATATTCAACAAGAGATCCATCATGACAAAGCAGTCTAGAGCTTCTAACAGTCTTTGCATAAACACATAGTTCAAGCCATATATAAAACTGTTTGCAACGGAAGTTTTAAATTTTTAATTCAATATAAAGAGTGCAAATTATTTCATTCTCCATGAAGTTCAAAATTCACAGCTCATCTTAACACAGACTATATGATCAGAACCACACCTCATCCAATATTTGGATCAACTTAAACTTCAGCTATTTTTTAATGTATTGACCCCAAGTCTACAGCTACAGTTTAGCTGTATACATAAAAAAAAAAATCCCTCATATTTATAGATACAATTCTGTCTAAGTCACAGTTCTTACATTTTCTGGAAGGAAAATAAGTAATCCTTATTTCAAGAATACATTAGAGCTACAAAAACTTGGTATTACATATGACACGCTCCTCCCTCATCACTGCAGTCACATAGATCTTTTACTATTGGCTGTAGGTTAAGGCCCTACATACGGGAACTTAGAGCTCAGATCTATGAAATAAAGAGAAAGCAGTTGTTTATAAAGCAGACAGAATTCCTCCAAACACATTAACACAACAGACTAAAGTAACAACAGAGAAAGTTGCACAAGATAATAATTTATACCCTATCACCCTGAATCTTCTTTATATCTTATTTTTATAACCATCTAGATTGATAAAGAAGAAGCATTTATTCCATACTTCATTATGAGTACTTCTTATCCTTTGATTTTTAGTTTGCCTCTCACTTTGAAAGCTAGAAATGCCAGAACCACCAGAAAAGAAACAAGCTTGAATTCTAGATCATTTATTTCACACTACTACCTATTCAGCTAGATCCAAAAGACCACATAATACCAGAGAAGGCAGACAACAACAGAATGAATTAGCTCCATTCCCCTACTGCACATATATTCCTGAATGCATGGGAAAAGTTAATATTCAGAAGAAATGGAATTGCAAGGCCTATTTGACCTTACTCCAGGATGAGTGAGCAGCCATAGTTTATTTGCAAAACCACAAGTTTGGTGAAATACAAGACTATTGGAAGCAGTTGGTAATAGGGAAAAAAACAAGCAAACCAAAACAAACTCCCCCTAACGTTATACAGGAGGAATTTGAAGAGATAAATATTGCTGAACTATAGTAGAATATAAACAGAAGCAGTCAAATAAAAGACTAATAATCTAATCACTGTATCAGGAATGCATAGTAGAGAAGTGCCACTAGAAGAAACAAAATTTATTTATATTTTCTTCATGATTAAAAAACATGCAAAATATGATTCTATAAAAATCAGTTTCTTCTAAATCCACAAAGTGCCTTGGCCACAGTTACTCAGTTACTTCACCCAAGCCACCTATAATACTGCTATGAAAAAAGAAACAACCCACAACAAACAAAAAAGCAACTGCACATACACATACTCCCAGAAAAATGTCTTACTTACTGGAACAACGAGTGAAGTAATTCCACTGGCTAAGCCTGTCATAATTCGTCCAAGATAAAGCATCCAAACATTCTGGGCAGATATAATAACTACATATCCAAAAACATATGGTATTGAGCACAGCATTAGACTCAGCTTTCTCCCAACTTTATCCACAAGATAGCCTCCTAGTATTCCTCCAGCAGCAGCTCCTAATGTTACTACTGACTTAAAAAAACAAGTAAAAAAATGTTATTATACATATATATAAAAGATGTATATAAAAATAAATAACAGACAGCAATTTCTTTTAAAATCATAAAAAGTAAATAGAGCTTCTAAAAAAAATGTGCAAGAGTACACAGGTGTTTTGAAAATCAAAATAAGCATTAACTTCTTAATCAAAACATAGTCAAGAAGCACAAGTTACCACAATTGAACAGCAAGTACTTTTCATATTACATACAAAGCTCTTTCAATGAAGAAAAAGAAAAAAAAATAGAAAAGCAGTAGTAACTGTTTCTTAATCCATCTACAAAGCTGTGCATTCACAAACAGGTCTGTCAAACTCTTTGAAAGCCCTGGAAACTTTATTATCTTGACTAACCTGAAGTCCTGTCTGTATCCAAAATGTAAATATTCCCCATGCTGATGGATCGCACTAATCTATTAAAAAGTTTATTTTCTGTGGTCTCTTAACAGGTTCAATTGTGAAACATGAGCATGGTTAGAAGACATTTCAGCACCAAAACCAGGTTCAAATAATAGGGGCATTTATTAATATATGCTGAGAGTTATCAGAGCATAACAGCACTGTTACTTGGGAAAAATTTGCATCAAACACTGAGTTTAGAAAAAAGCTGGATTTCATTATTAAGATCTGCATTTACCCTCATTCTTAAGAGGAGTAAGACCCCATCGTATAAGCAGCATCTTCTTGAGCTACGCTTTCAAGTGAAATCACATAATAGTAATGCATCATACAGAGACCTACCCCAAACCACGAGGCTTGACTGCTGTCCAATCTTAACTTCGGATCGTTGATTTGCCTCAACTCTGGGATAACGGGTGAGCTATAGCCTAGCACGAAGCCAAAGCTAAGCGGCCCCAGGACAGCAGCGAACGTGGCCAGGTACAGCTTCTTGTTCCGCACTCTGAGGCAGAAGAGGCCGACAAGAATCACACCGCCCCCACCCCCCGCTTCCGGCCCCAGCTCGGGCCCCTTACTGGGGCCGTAATGCTCGGGCGGGCCTGGCAGAGGGCTCGACCCACAGCTCGCCTGCGCTTGTCCCCGCTATCGGCCGCGGCCGAGCTCCAGGGCG